GGGGGCCACTGCGAAGCGCTGCTGTGGCCCGGGGATGACCATTCTACGCGCGGGCGTTACAACTTTTGAAGTGGCCCATACCTGGATACGCAGTGGGGCAGGATGGATCGACTCCGTTTTGGCCTTTCAGCATTTGCAAAGAAGATTGGGCCTGCAACCTCACCCTCTAGCCTGCGAGCAGGACTCAAGAGCGTTGGCTTCCAACACCTTTGGGAGGACTGCGCAGCCCGAGCGCGATTGAAGAAGAGTAGAGAAGATGATACAAGGTGCAGAGGGAATTCTTCATCTGGTGCGACTGATGGAGAAAGAGCTGCTGACGGGTTTCAGCCAAGGCTGCGTTTCACACAGCTTGGTCCGAAAACAACGGCAGGAGCAAGCAGGAGCAAGAACTTGTGGGTGGACGGGCGATAGGCAACACCTTCTGCGTCTATTCTGTCCTGATGCTCCTCCATGACGTCTTGCGGAAGTGTGGGGAACCACGATCATCAGTAACGATATTGCTGGGGGCTGGACCTGGAGGGCGCCCGCGCGCATCAATGCTTTAGAACGTCAAGTGGCATCTAAGAGAAGCTGGTCGAGGTAAGCGCCACGTGCTTCATTTGATGTTTGACTCTCAAGGCCACAAGACCTTAGCAAGTGATGGGCTTGCAGGTCTCCAGTATAAAATTGCTTCAGGCCACTGGACGTCTCCTGCGTTTCCCGAAGTTGGTAAAAGTATGGCAGAAGCTTGAGCCGCCACGATGCCCCTGCCTCTCAGTCCTCTCATGGTCCAGGGTTTCGGGGGAGTCTGTTTCAACCTCGGGTTTATATTCGAGGGCGTTGCTCGCAGGTTTTGACACGATGTTGAGGAGTGGTGAACTCTACCGATTTGGACGCATGGACGTTGCCTTCTACGATGAAGACGCTATCTCGTTGCTAGGTTACACCGAAACGGGCAAACGCGCCAATGCTACAGTGATGGTCGTCGTGGAGAGTTGTGTGGCCGTAGCTGCCATGCAGGGCTGCGGCAGAGCGATCTGTGAGGGCGATCGTCCTCAACCTATTTTTGTTGCGTGGTCTCAGATTTGTGGTTGACTTCCATTGCCCTAGCGGCAAAGCGCGGGACAGCCTTGAGTCCAAAGTGGCGGTTGAATTTAGTTTTGTTTTCAATCCTTATTTTATTGAATTGCTCACTCGTCAACCTGAAGATTGTCCACAACTCCTGTGAGTATTTACATTCCCAGCAACACGTTCAGCTGCTTAACAAGTCTCATGTCATAAAGTTCCTCACTCACGCGCCGTCTCATATCAAGTTAGTCTCTGGTCAAGCTTCAGGGGCCGGCTGTCCAAGTCTCATGTCAGCAGTCTGATGTCGGGAATCTTGTCAAGCTTCGGACCTGGAGTTTTCTTTGCAGTCCCAGCACTTGCTTCTGCGGAGCTTGTCTCTTGACTATATAGAATTCTTTACAGTTCATAGACATCTTGTAAAAAAATATGTTGTTGTTTTCTTTCGGTTTTGGTTTTGAAATTTTTGTTCTCTCTTCTAGTCATGCCAAAAAACAGGTGATTTGTGTGACTTGTGTCTTCTATGTACAGGTCATAACATATGTTGTCAACCACATCTTTTACCTCTGAAGCAACCCTGGTTGTCTCAAATCAGGCTTGAACCTTTGCATTAGAGACGACTGAAAAGCAAAAAGGCGCCTGATCCAAACCCTGGGGATCAAGACCCTAAGCTTGATCTGATGACAATGGGGGAACTTTTGCATTTTACTGGAGGGTCCCAGCCGCTGGTTCGCTCACAAGTGGCATTTCTTTGATTTGCACTGAATCCAGTCAAGTGCCGCAGGCATGCCATGATCAAGGTGTGGTTTCTCACTTTTTGAGCAGAAGCTTGCAAGTCCTTGCGGATGAAAGGAGACGGGGTGTTATAAACATGTCAGTCGAAAGGTTAGGGTTTTGGGGGCTCGGTTGATTGCTTTGCAAGGAGTTCAGCTGGAACTTTGCAAGCAGCTGCGTTGTTGGCAACAGACCTTTGGCTAGAAGGCTTGATCTTTCTTGTCAAAATGTTTCCGTGAGGTCGCTTTGTGCATTCCCCCTTTTTCAGGCAGCTTCAATTCTTCGCCACAAGAAGGTTCGAACATCAATGTTGGAACTGATTTTGCTTTTGTGCGAAATCTTGTGTTTGGGATCTTTCAAGATTCAAACTGTGTGCATAGGGCTCGGAGACCTTCTTGCTGCATTGAAGAAGGCAACGCAAAGCAGGCATTGAACGAGCCTTTCTCATCCATTTCGTTCAGACAATCTACTTCTACCCTCACACGAATTTCTTCTTTTGCAACAAGAAAATATGTAAATGTTTGTTTAGAGGTTTTGTTTGAAACTGGTAGATAGCTTTTGTACTTTGAAGGGATTAGTCTGTGCAATGCCAGACTGGATCGCAGGCAAGGAAAGTCTCCACAGCTTGTACGCCTTGGCAAATTACGGAGTATCCAAGGAGCAGAGAGCATAGATCGAGTGATTTTTTTGTAATTCTCTGTTTTCTCAAGCAGCTGAGCACGATTTGTAGGTTTACAGTTCACCTCAGAGCAGGAAAGCAATATTTTGGCCATGTTGAAGTTCTACAAAGTTCAACATTCTTGGGATCCTGTGAGAAATCCTCTACAGCTCAGACAAATTTGTTTGCCAAAGAGCATCTTGTATCTTCCATCAATGGTTTTTCAATTGGTGAACTTTATAGATTATTCGCAAACCAACTGATTACTCTATGTTTTGCACCCCTTGCAATAGTAGATTTTTAAGGGTGTCCAACTAATATTCAACAATGCCTGCAATTTGCAAATCTCTTACCTCGATCGCACAATCGATCATACACTCTCCAACCCATGATGCACTTACATCCTTTGCATCACCATGTCCATGAAAGGTCAACAAACGACTCCTTCTCATGATTTGAGCAAATTCTTACTGCAAGCGTACCATTTCATGCCGTATACCCTGTTCCAGATCACACGTGCATTGTGCCTGTGTTGTTTTTGCACTATGTCCTCCCACCACCACTTCTCCGGACACGCCTCGTGATACCGGATATGCAATTCTGTTCCCAAACGAAAGGGCTTCGCCAGCTAGAGCTACACAGCGATGAATGCGCAACAAGTCAATTACGCCCCTCAGCACCTTCGGTGCCAGATTTAAACTCACTATATAACTTTCTTCAGTCTCTCCTGTCGTGTTTTACCAATGCACAAATCCCCTTTTCAAGTCTTTTGATCATCACTACGACAATCATTTTACCTGGTTACTACTCTCCTAGCTCGTAGTGTCAAACCACACGAAGCATAGCTGGGCCTCGTCGCTATAACTCGGTTGCTTTTTTTTAAAGATGATTTGCGCTGTTCAATCAGAGGATTTTTCTTGGCCTCACTCTTCATTCATTTTTCCTGGCAAGTCAACTTGGCAGAATCAACCACAACCCTATTTGCACTGATCCAGATAAGAAGAGTGTTATTCAGCAAGGCCCTGATCGTATTGATACAGAATACATGATTGATTCAAAACAGTATCAATAAAAAAATAAAAGAAACAAAGAAAGGCAAGAAGGGAAGCAAGGAAGGAAGGAAGGAAGGAAGGAAGGTACGAAGCCAGGACGGAAGGAAGGAAGGAAGGAAGCAAGGAAGGAAGGAAGGAAGCAAGGAAGGATGGATGGAAGGAAGAAAGGCAGCAGGGCAGGAAGGAAGGTTCGCTTTTGGTGGCTCTTGGGTTTTGGTGGCTTTTGCCTTTGGTTTTCGATGGCTTTTGTAGGTGGCCAGCTTGCGGAGCTGTGCTGCCTGCAATGGCAAGTGTTGTCTTGTATTCTATGTTAATGCATTTTTTGATGCATCTCCCGAAAAACACACAACAACAAGGACCACTTTTGAACTCCTGTTCTATCCCCCACTTGGCCAGCTACTCAGCGAGCCAGCTTACGGACCTGTGCTGCCTGCAGTGGCCAGGAAAGCTGCAAGTTGACTCACCCTTTGTTGCGCCACCCGAGGGTAAAATTTGGAGAAGGATGTTGCCATTTCAACTTGACTCACCCTTTTGCGCACAGGGTAAAAATTTGAGAAGGAAGTGGTCACTCCAACTTGACTCATCCTTTTGTGGCCAATGCAGGGGTAAAATTTAGAGAGGGAAGCGGCCATGCCGAGTTGACCCACCCTTTTGTGGGCCACGCAGGGGTAAAATTTAGAGAAGGATGTTGCCATTTCAACTTGACTCACCCTTTTGTGGGCCATGCGGGGGTAAAATTTAGAGAAGGATGTTGCCCTTCCAAGTTGACTCACCCTTTGGTGAGCCACCCGAGGGTAAAATTGTGAAAAGAAGTTGCCAACTCAACTTGACTCACCCTTTTGTGGGCCATGCAGGGGTAAAATTTAGAGAAAGATGTTGCCATTTCAACTTGACTCACCCTTTTGTGGGCCATGCAGGGGGAAAAATTTAGAGAAGAATGTTGCCCTTCCAAGTTGACTCACCCTTTGGTGAGCCACCCGAGGGTAAAGTTTAGAGAAGGATGTTGCCATTTCAACTTGACTCACCCTTTTGTGGGCGACGCAGGGGTAAATTTTAGAGAAGGAAGTGCTCATTCCAAGTTGACTCACCCCTTGGTGAGCCACTGGAGGGAAAAAAACAGAGAAGGAAGTGGCCATTCCAAGTTGACTACCCTTTTAAGTGAGCAATGCAGGGGTGAAATTTGGAATACGCAGCAACATTCATTCGGGAAAGGGCCTGTGTGCGCACTTGATTCCCCCCGATGGGGTGTGTGCGCGCTGAGTCAACAAGTGTGTGCGCAGATGAGGCACAAGTGCTGATAAAATATGCGGCGCCGCCCTTCTGTGAGCCACCCGAATGTACAGTAGTAAAGGTTAGAGGGCAGAAAGCCATTCCATTCTAGCACGCCAGTAAAATTTTGGAAGAGCTGGATCTGAACCTCTGCAAGATTTTCCAGGTCTCTAGACTCTACACCTTTACACTAGATCTGTCTGGACGTCGAGGCCTTTGGATCTTTGTAGATGTCGGCGTCCTGCTTCTCAACCGTGACCTCTTGAATCTCCAAAACCTGAAACACCTTATCTTTTCAATTCTTGGCAATTTCGAACAGAACACAGAGGGCAGAGGCCGACCGTTGTGGTGGATAGGTTGGTCTCGACCCAAGGGCCCTACAGGACCATCCAAGGTATCCGTGTAGGTTGATTTAGTTTTTGTTTTTTTTGATGCGTTTTTGTTTTTCTTTTGATCACTGCTTCGAGTTGGACTATTGCGCTTCCCTCCACTCGTTTGGGTCCGTTTATTTTTTTATTGATTCATTTTTGTTTTTTCTTGATACCCAGAATTATATTTGTTTTTTGATGCATTTTTATTTTCTTTTTGATCCCTTGCCCCGGCAGAACCATGGGCCAAGGGAATTTTCTTGCGAATATGGTCAGAGTCAACTGAGAATGTACTGCAGAGAGTCTTTTTGAAGCGGCAACTCAGCTGCAAAGTTTCCAACCGATTTCGCGGTGGGTCCTTGAAGGTTGATCCATTAGAGTGTGTATGTTTCGCGTCAAGATGATTTACTTGTGAGAGCCGTGGAGTTGAGTGTTTGAGACACGAGATTCGCTTCGCTACGGCGCGCAATCAGATTGCTGCATCATGGTTGCATTTTTGTACTGTCAATTCCGTCCCCAGTGGCCACAGCACTCCCTGAAATTCAAAAGATAAACCATTTGACTTGCGATATGAAGAGCCTGTTCTGGCGAGAAGAAAGACTCGGGCCGCCAACATTCAGCCGAAGTCCTGCTGATGTCCCCTGATTATTTCGCCTTGTGCTCCTAAGTTCTCTTGTCAGAGTCACACTCCCACTTTTTTCATGTTCTTCGCAGTTGGCTTTGCACTAGAAATTCTTCCATTTAATACCTTTGCGCATTACTGTAGCAAGCTAGACATTATTTTGCAGGAAGGGTGCAGGAAATGCATCAGATACTTCTGCCAGGTTGCCTTTTCTTGTCTCTCAAGACTGTTGTGGCCACCTCAATGACAACATTTTGTTAACGGCAACCTTATCTAAAGACATTGGAAAGCAAGCAATGCAAAGTTTGATGTTGGGAGATCCACTTGCCGGTTCGGCAAAGGTCTAAACTATGCGACAACCAAGATCCGGATGGAACTCCAGCCGTGTCCGCCCTGCGGAAGCTCTTTGTATTCCAGAATGAGGGAAGCACGATTGTTCACATTCTTTGTGTTTTCTGAAGCACGATGTGCCTATGTGTTTGATGTTCCGCCGAGGTATCGCACTCTGGTGTATGCTCTGGCCGGAGACTCGATTCCACAGGGAAAGCACTTCTTGTGCCCGGCGCAGATCGATTTGGGAAAGGTCGAGTGTGAAAGCCAATCAGCCCGGGATTTTGGGACTCGGTGTCTTCTCGCGCTTCTCGAAAAGTATGAGGGCGTCTCAACCTTATTTCATGCTTGTGAACTTTGGAACATTTTGAACCCATACTTGTGCCGAAACAGTTGCTGACCGGACCTGCTCAGGTTCCTGTTGGCATCCTTGCAGAGCTGACTGCGAAGAAGTTCCAGGACCGCTTCCTCCACTCCACAGAGCTGACTCTGTTGGAGAAATACAGCACTGTGAAGGTAAGTCCAGCAGATCCATTGGCAGTGATTGATGTAGAGCTCTTCTTAGCTTGGCTCCTAAGTCCTACCAGCAAGCGCAATTCAACATCAAAGTCTTTTCACGTGAACGTACTATGACACAATTTGCATGTTTACTGTAGGTGATTGCCAAGCATCCTAGATGCACTGAGCGCCACGCTGAAATGTCCAGGCCTCAATGTCAATCAGGAGTAGTTCTCCCACTTGTAGATTCGGCTGACTTCATGCCCTAGGTTGGCACAAGTGCTTGTAAGTGCTTCTGGCCTGAGTTGTTTGACTTTCTCTGCTCACTAGGTTGAGCTTTGCCCTGTTCCTTAGATCTCTCCAGGATGTGCCGTGGAGAATGCTGTTGGTCGTGCTGCAAGCTGGAGCTTCAGGTCGCCTGTGGAGCATACTGTGGGTTTAGTTTCAGCCAAGGCCTCCCTTTGCTGGTGATATTCCGGCGCTTTGCACACGAGGACCAGACATTCGTTGAGCTGTAGGTACAGTGTCCTTGGAATTGCAATGTTCTTATAACAGACTCTCTTGAGAAATGACAAGCTCGTGGACTTGTGTAAGGAACAAAGTCGGATTCAGAAACTGCACTGTATTCAGAAGCTATATAGTCTTCAGAAACTATTTCGTTGTATTCAGAAACTATTTAGTCGTTTCAGAAACCATTTCGTTGTATTCAGAAACTATTTCCGTTGTATTCAGAAACTATTTTCGTTGTATTCAGAAACTATTTCGTCGTATTCAGAACTATTTTGTCGTATTCAGAAACTATTTTTGTCGTATTCAGAAAGTATTTCGTCCTATTCAGAAACTATTTCGTTGTATTCAGAAACCATTTCGTCGTATTCAGAAACTATTTCGTTGTATTCAGAAACTATTTTTGTTGTATTCAGAAACTATTTCGTCGTATTCAGAAACTATGTTCCTAAAATTTGTCGGGGTGGGGTCGGGGGGTGGGGGGGCAATAAACATAGGTGGGTAGTTGCTGGTAACGCCTCCAGGCGCCTGTGCCTGATATGTAATAACCTCCAATAATGCAGTATCTAGTGTGCTTGATATATGACTTTGTCCTTCTGTGAGCTACAGGTGTGTTGGGGGGGGGTTTTTGGGGGGGGGGTGGGGCGTGGTTTCGTTCGGTTCGTCGATTCGTTCGTTTTCGTGCGTTTTCGTCCGTTCTCCTTCGTTTTCGTTTGATTACGGCACGCAGTGCATCGATGCTGCTTGGGGAAGCCTGAAGCGCTTCATGCCGAAGCAGGTAAAAAGAAAAGGAAACATGAAAGGCGTCAGTTGCATGAATGCAACGTTGGAACGCCGTGTGTACCAATGGCTCTGGCGCAAAAACCTCAGAGCTGATGGAGATGTCACGGGACAAGAGTTCCTGGTGCACTTGTCGAAGGCTTGCCGCTGGAAGTGAAAAGCAGCGTATGGCGGTTTTCCCGCTGAGCACTTTGGTGAAAGAATTGACCAATTGGGACCGTTTGAAAACCGACAGAGCAGACTATGGCTTTTTTAAGAGAGAATGTCACAGCATTCATGCCATGTTGCTACAAAGAGAATTTACACCAAGACTGAGTCCAATCAGTTCGTGGAAGGGAGTCCTTCTCTCTGAGCATTGTGTCTCATGCTTAAGATGATTGATCCCAATTTATCCTGATTGCTGATGGAAACAAACTCTTATTACTCAGGTACTTGAAATAACAAAAACGAATGTCCAAATTGACGACCCCATTTTTACTCAATTTTCTTGAAGTGGTCCTCCTCAGGGGGTTTCAGGAGAGATGTAACACGCCACCCACAGGCGCCAGAAGGCGTCGTCACCTAGTTGCTGCCGTGAAAAGTTGCTGATCTCTAGGATGAAGGGGTGTAGGGGGTGGGGTGCTTAAGTTTTACTGTCATGGAAGCCGAGAAGAGGCTTTGTTTGGGTAGAGAAGCGTTACAATACAAAGCTAAACAAAAAATGACAAACGTGTATATATATATATATACTGCAGTGAGTGAGCTTGACTTACTAATAAATAGTATCTTCACTACTTACTACTGAGCTTATCAGTCTCCGCGGTGCGAAGAAGTCAACTCCCTGTAGTTTTGCTTTGTTTCCAGGTAATGTTTGGTGTTGCTCTTCGTAGTTTCCGAGATCCCTCCAATTTCCGAATACAACCGTCCAGTTTCCAAATACAAACCTCCAGTTTCCGAATACAACCGACCCAGTTTCCGAATATAACCGTACCAGTTTCTGAATATAGTTCTGTAGTTTCCGAATACCAGTTTCCGAATACAACCGTTTAGTTTCGGAATACAACCGTCCCAGTTTCTGAAAACAACCGTATAGTTTCCGAATACAACCGTTTAGTTTCCGAATACAACCGTGACCCTTGTGTATGCTCAACGCAGGATTGTATCCGCGCACTTTTCGAGCGCTTCGTCCAGGCCCGGCAATTACAGGCATGCGTCCCATACCCAATCGTGCTGTGCTATGCAGGTGGCGTTGACAAGGACGACTGCTGAGATTGAATTGATGATGACGAAAAGTCTTCTCGGTTGGAGAGCAGAGGGCACGCAAGTTGTGGTGCGATTTAGGCTCATACAGCGGGGCACACCCAAGGCACAGATCAACCAGGCAGGAAGCTGTGAAGTTATTCCCTCTGTGGAGCGGCAGATGCTCGCCGACTCAACCCTCCGTGCAGGAATTCTGTTCTTTTTGTTTTGGGGCCTTGCACATAAAAAGACAGTCCTATGCATGTCTATCTACCTTTTTGTGTCGATTGTGGCTCCCATCCTGACCCCCTTTTGAAATTTGGAGTCGATAAATCCATTGTGAATGACAGCTCCATTTTTCTCTTCAATCACGTTGAACCTTCTCAAGAGTGGAGGATTGCTTTCAGCCTCTGATTAAGGTGCATGAGTTGCTGGCGAAGGTGGCATGCATGCGCCAGCTCCCAAGAAGAATGGTACCTCTGCACATCTCAAGTGTGGTGTAAAGAGTGTAAAGTGCTTTAGTTGTCACTCATGTTGCATTTTCGCAGCAGCCTGTATGAGGCATCCCATCCTTGGTAGAGCGCATGCGACAGCTCTTGCAAGAGGTCAATGACTTGCAGTGACATGTTTGCTTGAAGTACAATCCGATGTGACACCTAGAATGATTTGGAATTCTTCATTGTGACGCATTGTGAATACTGCAGCTTGCAATGCAGGTTTGTAGAGCGTACCTGTCAAACTACATGGAGCTGCATCCAAATCTACAGGTGCGAATCGGTTGTAGGTTGATGCCAGTCTTCCAATCATTCCAATTGTTCGTTTATAAATTGCATAATCTGACTTGTCTACGGGAGACGTTGACTTGAAAAGGACCCAGCCTTGATTAGGCTTGCTTTCAATTGCATTAGGAACACAGGAGGGGGTGCAATAGTCATCACAGTATTGTCAAGGACAATTTCTGTGATGGCTGATCTAGTTCAGTTAAGAAACATTTGCTGGGAGCGTTTGAACGTGATTTTGCTTTGCCTCATTTTGGAGGTTTTGCTAGAGCTTTGGCCTGAAGATGAGCGGGAATTGAATGCCTGGGTAGCTTGGCTCAATCAACATGCTCTTGCCTTTTCCTGCCTTTCCGTGCTATGTTCAGGACTTTTCAACGTCACTACCGCTTGCTACTGCGAACAACAGCGCTTTCATACGCTTTCCGCTTGCAATCATTTTTCAGGTGCGTTCCTTGAGTCAGGACGGAAGTGAATTCTGATACATTGAAGCAATGCCACAATGCCTACTGTCTATGTTTGTGTATGGCTGTAAGCTCAAAATTGTGCTGGCAGGAGTCTCCAAAGACGCAGGACAAGCTGGACAAGTCACACTTTCTAGTATGCTTCAGGTGCCACTTGGGGCAGTTTGCATTTTGGCCTTGCCAGGACTTGTTCAATCCAGATGCAGGTGCAATGGACACTTTGCTTCCGCTGTCAACATATGAACCCCCAGAAAACAATCATCAAGGTCAACGGCCACACCTTGACACGTAAAGGACCTGCCAACCCAATGTGCTTGGCCTTTCAATCCTTAAGGGTAATGTGGTCGCACTTTTGGCGTCTTCTGAAGGTGCCACAGTGCCAGTGGAACAGCTCGCCAAAGAGCACGCATCCAAGCAAGCACTTTGAGGGAAGGGCAAAGCTTGTGCACTTTATTGCTCAAAAGGACTGAAAATCTACGTGATGAGCTTGCTTCTGCGAAGGACAGTACATGTTTTGCCGTTGTACTTGTTCAGCATTATCTACAATATGGCATTTGTTGCAGAAGCATTGTTGTAGTTGCTGCTTTAGTTAGTCCAGGAAAAGCAGGCACAAGCATTGGCTGAAGCAGAGGCTGACCGGCAGTTCGGCGGTTCGTGTTCATGGACGTGCACTGGTGACTTCTGTCGATTGGTAGCATCCAGGCCTTGCGAAAAGAACTCCGTCAGCAGCTGATATACAAAATCTGTGTATATGCTTTGCCAAACTTGGACAGATTTGTACAAAGTCCGAGGTGATGCAAAACTTTTGCAGAAGAAGGCATCTATTTGGCAATTGGTTTCTGGGAAAGGAAATACAGGACTATGTCCAATCATTGATTCCAGTTTGCCAAGGCTTGCAATTGCAACTCAGGAATGGCAACACTATTGGTAGAACAAGAGCGTTTTCCCTATGTACTCAGGTGGAAGCCGAAGTGGATCAGCTTCAGGATCGACGTGAGGTTGGGGCTGGGACAGCTTCAAGACACTAAGGCAATTCAACACATCAAACTGAAACTATGCACAGAGACAGAAACCTACGGTATGCCAAGTAGAGTAGCAAACTCCCAGTTGCCAGTTCCTTTAAAGTTTTCAACACCAGTCACCAGATCGTCAGGAAATATTGGCCAAGAGGCTTCGCCCTTGGCATAGCATTAGCAACGTCACCCACATTTTTAAGTCTCAAAGTGCTCAGGCAAGCAGCCAAAGGCAGGGTTGTGGGGCAGGTTCTGAAGATGTAATTCGAAAGTTAACAAGAACATTCAATCATTGCTGCAACATATGCAGCACTTTGAGGTGATGGAAGCTCTCGCCAGAGCCCTTGGCATGAAATGGACGCAGCGCGATGCATAGATTTTGTTGTGACATTTGAGGCAAGGGCAAAAAGCTGGACTCCCAGAACTCCACAGATGTCGTGCCAGCAGCAGAGGCTGTGAAGGCCTGGATTCTGGATCACACAACAGACGAATCTGAATCTTTTCTCTGTGAGGTGGAAGAACTGCAGAAGGCCGGCGCCGCAGATACTTTGTCATGCCATACTTGATCCTACGATACCTATGACTGCCGGGTTGTCCAAGGCATTTGAGGAACCGCTGAAAGTTCTCTTCAGCCCCCGACTAAGATATTCGGAGCTGCCTGAAAGGCGAAGCTTAAAGCATTCGAAGAAGTACATCAGTGTATCCTGTAGCAGTACACTAGGGCTGCTCATCTGCGAGTTGCACTTTGGCGTTTCATAATATGCTCCGGAAATCTCCACAAACACATTAAACCACAGTTTCTATACCGTAATAAGGGGTTTCAGACACAAAGAACATGCAGACTCCGCATTTTGGCAGTTGTTGATCAAGGTCAATACGCAAAGCCTCGCCGTGGTGCAGGTGGAAAGCGCCTTGAGATGAGGTTAGAGGCCAGTCTGGCACCTTGGAACCTTGAGACTAGCTCAGCTTTTCTCTTGGTTGAAACCTGTTGCCTGGAGGTCATGGAAAGTATGTTGGAGGACCTTGAGATTTCACCAAGTCGTCTTCAAAAAAAAGCAGTGAGCCAACTAAGCCTGCATCCTGTCATCTTATGTGTTTCCACATTGGGACAGGTACCTCAACTGTTCAAGTCAGGGCTTCCAAAGCCAGCAGACGAGGCAGAGAGAAGCTCTTCCACACTGCCGAACGGCCTAAGGGTATGTGAGATTGTTGAGAATGAACACCCACTCAAGAAGTTATTTGGCCAAATGCCTGCAAGTAGGCTTGCTGTGGCAAAATTTGCGGCAAGGCTTTGTTGGTGGAGAACTTTTTGCAGTTGGTGCCTCGCTAGAACCCTAGAGCGGCCCCAAATTTTAGATGTAGTAACAAGGGCATCGCTACTAGTAGCAAGACCCTACTAGTTAATAGGATGTAATGAGTCATACATGACGTCTTTCAGACACGGAGACCCCCGCACCTCGTACTCTCCCGAGGACTGGCCAAATGTTTTTCAGCCTCAGAGGCAACACCGATGAGGGATTTTGGTGTGACGGTCTCATCCTCAAAATAAGGACTGTATACAACTGATTGGAATTGAGTTTGGTGAGGTACCGTGCGAGACAGGTTCTGCCCCGTTGGAACTGCAAGCTTTCCTGCAATATTTGGAGAAGCGGGATCGATGCTTAGGTGGACAAGGTTTGGAAGAAAGCTGGCGGCGAAGTTTAAGCAAAATAGGAGCAAGTAGACAGACTGGCCAGACCAATCTCTTGTGAAAGTCTCCAGTCCTTTCAAGGCTGAGACGTGTCAAGCCCAGGAGAGTTGAGACCGTAATGCAGACAAGAAAATAGAAAGGGCATTTCTGAAAACAGTGTTTGCTGTATTTGCTGTTTTTTTTCCTTTGTTGTTTAGTACTTTAGTCGCATCATTGTTCTGCACTTGGGCACTTGGGTCACCAAGTTCATTGACAGGTCACACAATTCATCCCTGAGAGTGACAAAACCTGTTCTTGCCCGAGCCAAGCGGCGCTGGGTCACGGTCCCAGTCAACCCACCTATCGATTGGAAGTCTTCAAACTCAAAGACAACGTCACACCGTTGGCAATAAGCAGATTTGAAAGTAGAGCAACAGCTATGCTTTAACATGTATTCTTTGTGTGCGTGTGGGTGTGCGTGTGCGTGTGCGTGTGCGTTTGCGTGTGGGTGTGTGTGTGTCAACCCCTGTTCCTAAGGGTTCCTTGTTCTACAAATGAAGGGGGCACGGAGACTGATTTCCCATCCGTGCCAACGAAGCTACGGAAATCAGTTGGAAGAGAGCTGGGACGCCGACTCTTGTACCTGCGATGCAACTGTTGACCACGCTGTCCAACCCTTTGATTTGATTCATGCTCTTTCATGTGATCCTTTCCCTAAAACAGGTTTCCCACCGCAGTTTTCCACCGCTCGTGAGCTGCCGCTGAGTCACTGCAGATGCGCATCAACACTTGTTCAACAATACTTTTCTGCGGACCCATGCACCTTTCCGTTCCTTCACCTTCTTTCTCAATGTGGGAACTGAGTTAACAGCAAACCGATGTCAGAGTGTGAACCGCTCAGCCGTCCCACTTGGGTGCTGGGTGTGATCCTCCGCAAGGAGGCGCCGTTTTCATGCCGGAAATCGTGTTACTACATCATCCGCTTTTCATCGTGGATCACATTAACAACCTCTGTTTCACTACTGAATTGTCTGACTTCAAAGCCGCCGGGCTTCCACGGATTTTCCACGGATTTTCTGTGTCTCCACAACTTGGTTTAGACATGTTGGCAAGCACTTGTTACTCCGAATTTGTTGCAGCTGCACTTTTGACTTCAAGGATATGTCATAGCACTTCGACTTCCGAGATGTACAGGACACGTCAGTTCCCATTTCACAGTCCCACCATGATTCACCTATTTCACATTTTTCACCGTTTCCTTTCACCTTCATGCGTGACTTTCCACCCAATCATCTACCATCTCACGACTTCATTTCACGGGTACAAGTAGCAGAGATCGTCAGCTGCTGCTGCGCTGGTGCCATTGAGCAGCTGACTCCTTTTGAAGCTACAGCAATCTACCTGGAACTTTTGACAGTACGAACACAGAGCCAATGCAGTATCCGTGGCCATACCCATACTTGACACATCAACCACCACCCACAACAGCACCGACATTTTCAATCCAACAGACGCAACCTCACATGCCTCCCTTGATCTCACACATGCCACCTACCCTGCCGCCTATCCCACAGCCAACATGGCAGCCTACAACCCAGTTTCAACCGCAACCACAGCTTTTGCCTCAGATACCACATCAACACACCATCCCATTTCCCTACTCACTACCTCCACAGGAACCTCCACCAATGATTCCCCCGCAATCACCACCAGCTCCACACACTCAACCAACTCCACAGCAAGCATGTCAGCCAGCACCAATGCAATGGGGCTACAGCCAGGGAGTCTGGCAACCCTTTTCGGTCTTTCCGCCAGTCACTCAACAGGGTCATCCACCACCAGGCCAAGTTCAGCCAGGCCCGATTCCTGCAGCCGCCACCCCGGCTCCCTCTGACCCTTCACCAGCTGCAACGATACCGACGCCTCCCACTGCAGCCACTGCTGGCCTCCAATCGCCAGCCTCTACAGCGCCTTCAACACAAGCAGACCGCACTGTCACAACCACCGACCAAACCTCTTCCACTCCTCTACTTCTATCCAACACACCTCCACCTTCTACTCCAGCAGGTTCAATTCAATCCGACAATCCTACTGGTACACGCATCTCCGATCCGCCACCGGCTCACCCACTGACCTCCGCACCACAACCACCTCCACCGCCCAACGCCCCCAGTCATCGTGGCCGCGGCCAACGCCGACACCATCGCCGCCGCCACCGCCATCACACTCGAGGCAGACGCCGTCGCCGCCGCCACACAACACGCACAAAAACGCAGCATGATTTACAGGCACCAATCATCGCGACGCCACCGCTCGCGATCACCTTCCTCAACATACTCCTCATACTCCTACAGCCGGTCACGCAGCCGCTCCAGACACCCCATTTCACTTCTCCCCAACAACGACTCACTACAACAAGATGCTGTCACCAACCAATCACAAACCAGCTATCCCAACATTCCAGCTCTTCGCAGGCCTACCAAACCATGGCGACCATCTCCACAGTTCCAGCAACGCACCCCACAAGAACAACTGGAACTTTGGCTTGATTATCATGCTGACCAGCTTGAGGCACCCAACAAACCCCAACACACTTACGTCGCCAGCCTGCTGCTTGACAGCGGTCTTACTTACAAAGACATCTCAGACTTCAGACAATTCACTCACATCAAATGGAACGACGCTGCCAACACCCATGACATTTATCAATACCATTGCATCACCATCCCCAGCCTTGTGCAAAAAGCAACTCGCAGTTTCCCACCGCCAGCGACACGTGCGACTTCCACCACACCAGAAATGGTCCATATCAATGCCGGCCACACAGGCCCTCTCGGCAACATCACCAACATCCTCCAACAGGGCCGTTTCTTGCCCAGCGCCCTCCACTTCCCCAACAACGCGGGTTTCTTTGCCCAAGCCGTACGCATCACACAACAACCACAACGCGACAACGCAGAACATGCCCGCATTCTTCACAACACTTGGAACCTCGCAAAAAACACACATTCACTCATCATCAACCTACTTGCCTGGGGTCAAGGCACCAAATTTACTAGCGGCGGTGAGGAGCAAGCGATGAACCTGCTTCTCCAAAACCACGGTGCCGTTAGCCATGCCAAAGCCAGATGCTGGGTTATACACCCCGACAACGCGATTGTCAAAGGCTTGGCGTGGTCGATCAACTCCACTCCACCAGACACTTAACTCACCACAACAACAGCTTCCACTCTGATTGGCCACATTTCCACCAGTTTCACCCAACACCACATACCACTCGCTCGGCGAAAAAGACCGAGCATTGCTGGACTTCCATTTGCAGCGACTCTACCGCTCGGACACTCTGATTGATACACACCGTGCCAGTTTCTTTGACCATTTTCATGTTACGACATGCGACTACAGTTTGCGCCTTCCTAGATTGTTCACGAGCTGCCCTTCATGTGATTTTGATTGAAGAATGGGTCTTTTGATCTCCCGATTTCGACGAGAAGTTTTATCCTTAATGCTTTTCAACATGTGGCCCTCACTGACTTGACACTTTTTGCGGCCTCTATGAAGGCATCGTGTTTCCTGCGAAATTCGTGCTCGACAATTCACGCTCGATAATTCATTTGCACGTTTCAGCCGACCGTTCATGCTACCTGGGTTGCCGCGCCGAGCTTGCCGCGCTGCCGTGCTGCTGTCCACATACATCCATCAGCCAAGCTGTCCCACATGATGAACACTAACCCAGACCAAGCCAATTTGATTCACCGCACCACTATCGCTCTTACACAACTACACCGCCTTCTCCAGCAAGCGACTGACATTTTGGAAGGTTTGCACGGTCTCTACCTGCTCCATACAAGACAAGTTGACAATCACTTCCAGCGTTCTTTCCTCCCTCTTCCCCCACCTCCTTCCTTCACCATACCAGTACCTTCCCCTACATCTTCTTGTGACTCAGCACCAGCGCATAGACTCCCTCCAACGCCACGCAAACCAACCGCATCTCTCGATTCTTCTTCCCCTGCTCCTACCCCGCAGCCACTACATCCCAAGAAACGACAACAACCAGCACCACCACTGAACTCCCAGGCCAATTGGGATGATTGGGACGGCGACGCGGACTGCCGCCTCGTCGAATTGAAGACAGACCCTCAACTCCGACCCAATTGGAGCTACGTAGCCCGACGCGTGGGCTTTTCCATTGAGCAGTGCAAAGCCCCCTGGCAGGAAATTCAAGAATGGCAACCCATCCACGATGCCTCCACACCACCTCATCCTCTTTCCCCACATCCCTCACCGGCCATCTCCCCCACACCTACTTCGCCAGCAGAAACCCCGCCAGCAACACCTCTCCCGCTACACTCTGAAGCAGACTTCTCCGACTCTTCATCTCCACCTCATGCTTTACCATCTGCAGCAGCGGACTTCACAGCGGCGGCGAGGCGAACCAAGAGTGAGGACAGCCATCCGGAACGCGCAGATGACCAATTTCTAGGTAGCTATTTTGTATGATTTCCTCAGGTTTCACCCAGTTTCCCTAGGCGCGCTGCCGGAAACAACCGCCTGCACGGCTCGTGATTGCAGACAGCTGAAGAACAATTTTCACGATTATTTCAGTCATTTGGATCACCCTCTTTCGCAGATCTGCAAGCTTTGCCCTACTTCTACTTCCAAGATTTTGCTCGATCCACCACGTTCGACTGACTACTCCTGTTTTTCCGGACCTTTTGCTGACCACAACGCAGCCGTTTACCATTGACCGTGATTTCCGTCCATCCTGCGCTTTTCTCACGCTGCCAAATCATGGCCGCCGATCACTCCGCAGCTGCCAGTGACACAGAACTCAATCTTGACACGAGCACCAGCTATCAGCCCGGTTCCACACCTACGCCACCACCGTTACACAACACATTCACACTCAGCCCAATCAGCCATTTCTTCCAGGCAATGGCCCCACTCACCTCGCCCCATCCATCACTCACCAACCAAAACTCCTGCTTCTAAGCCGGATGTTTGATATCCTCTTCGTGCTGGTCACACACATCTTGGTGGTTCTGTTACTAATCGCTACTCGCGTTTCGTGTTTTGAGTCTTGCTGGCCCCCAACCTTGCAGCAAGAGCCTCCACTTACTGACACCTGT